GGATAAGGGTCTGAAAAATACCTCAACTTTGGTCGGATTTGCTGTTGCGATACTAAACTTTCAGAAGGACCTATTACGTCCCTAGACTATTTAATACCGTATTTTTTACCCCCTGAACTACTTAATAGTGTATTTTAAATGTATATATGTGCCCACGTGGACACATTACTATTTATAATTTTGCATTATTTTTTATGTCCACGTGGGCAAATATATATGTTTAAAATACAGTATTAAATAGTCTAGGGAGGTAATAGGTCCTCATGAAAGTTTAGTATCGCAACAACAAATCCGACCAAAGTTGGGATATTTTTCAGACCCTTATCCTTTTTTTATTATTATATATATATAGGAACAAGTTTCTAAACTATTTTCTAAATAATAGTACAAGATAACAGATTCCATTAACAAATAAAGTAGTCTTATGTTCGAATCTGACAATATTATACTATAATCAAAAGGTTCAATGGCTAGATCGGTCAGAATTGACATAAATGTGAGTTATCATATAAAGGGAAAAGTTAGCACTACTTGGTGAAATAGGTTGAAGTATTTTGTTATCTGGATCAATCAACCTATTCTAGTTCGCTTTGTGTCATTTGATTTTAGAAAATTCATTGGATAGTATAGTTGATTTACATCTAACTATATCGAGGGAATAACTTTAACACTAGAACCCATAGAAACATGACCCTTTTTTGTGAAAAATATCTTCTGAATTATCATCACATTATCGATAGACACAAAAAGCAAATTTTGATATCGCCTATATGAAAAACTCAAAAAGATTGCTTAGATAAATTTTTTTGAGTGAGACGTACACAATCTTCCTAGAGAAAAGAGCACCTTGCATCTACCTTTTCACATTCCTCCCTCTTGCTCGTTTATCTATAGCTCTCTCATCTTAATGAAACTTTCTATGCTTTGAATTTTTTTCTTTCTTTTGAATGTTAAAAAATCCGCTTCAATTTGATTAGGCTAGAAAAAAGGTTTTGTAACAGCAACACACGGAGGTAGTAGAAAAAGATTTAGAAGTATATTACAATAAGAATAATTGAGTGAAGGGTTTATTCCTTCCAAGGGATTTAAATTACAATATTTAAAGGCAAATATAATCTTTTGATAATGTTATTTATTGATGAAATAGGAATATTTTGATGACATGACATAGTGAGTGCGATACACTCATTAGTGGTAAATAAAAGGCTTTATATATTGAGTAATTATAGAAATCACACTTGTTTAAGAGCTAATTACTTATATTCGGGTTAGTTTATAATATTATGAATTTTATCAGATTTTGGACTTCGGATACATGTATCTTACACGTCCTGATACATCAAGATACATATGTATCTCTTGTGCACGCATCCAGATACATGTATCTCGGATATATTATGCTAAAATTAGGTGTAATTTATTTTAGATACACTGTATTTAAATGAATTTGCAAGTATTTGGTTCTCTCACTCGCCTATGATCTCCTATCTTGCTCTCCTCTCTCCATGTATCTGGTATCCCAATGTGCAGTACCATTGAGTTTAATTCAATTGAAGGTTAAACATGCTTATAATAGGAATCAAAAGGTCCTAAATAAAAAATTTACCAATTATTTGAAGGACAAAGTGCTAATTTCCCTTAATTAACATAAGTATTAATTCCTTATTAATTACATAGTGCAAGCATAATTCAACTTAATTAACATAAGTATTGGGAGTATTTATTACTAGCTTAACTCCATTGAAGATCTATCATGGACTAAGCAATTCTAGAGTATCCAAATTCCAAACATACAATTGTCCAACTCCAACACCATATTTAATTAAACATAAATATAATATTAAGTTCTTGCTCAATATAATTTTTGTTGTTACTCAATTAATATTCTGTTCATGATCCACGATCTGCAAACATGTAAAGAAGAAAGGGTGTAAATAATGGATCTGTAATCTTGAAAAATAACATAAGCTATATAAATTGTTAGTGTAAATAATTTGATATAATACATAAATAAACATATAAAATTGACTGCACCTAACTAATAAGCACTTTTAACTTTGATAGTGTACTTCTAGACACTATTTGTAAGTGACTCTTTGTGTAATGCATATTAACTCTGATAAATAAAGTATTTTATTTACCAAAAAAAAAGTGTATGAGAAATACTTTTTGAGAAAATATATCCAAAAATACTTTTTAGAAATTTGATGAAACATCAATTGTTGCTCAAAAATATTTATTGGCCTAAACAAATAGCTCCTCACTGAAAGTGCTTGTTCAAAAAGAAACTTTTACATAAAAATACTTTTCAAAATAAGTTAATTTTAAAAGTTTGGCCAAACAGATTAAATTGTGTATCTCAAATCCAATAAAGATTATCATCTCTCATCATACCGTGTTCTTCGCCAATTGAAATATGTAATCCTTCTAACTCGTCCAAAATTTGATGGATTGGACTGCTAAATAGGTCAACTAATCAACTCGTGAAGTAACACACACAATAACTTAAAACTTTTTGTTTCTTTTAACTTTTGCATATAATAAACTATACCAAATAAATTGAGACAAGTAAAATAATATATTTTGTGCAAAACTTTACCAGGTGGCGATATTGAATCTGGTGCTTGGATTGGTTCCTCAAAATCTCTAAGGTAGAGGGATCTACGTGGTGAACACGATTCTTCTCGAAATTTATAGTCATTGCATCTATAACCTATAGTTAAAGAGGAATTAAGTTATACATCATACAAGTAACATTTAAATTTGGAAAAATAATACTAATAATTAAGGTTAAAAATCAAAATACTAGTAGTGGGCCCTTGGCTATGAGCTTTTTAAAAAATTATTTTTATTTGGAAATCTTAAAGTTTGAGTTGTGTAATGTACACTCAAAGTTGGAGAGCATAAATGTTAGCTGAGGCCAAGTTAAAAGGCATGTTAATGTGTATGCCTTTCTAAAAACTAGCAAAATCACTCAATTTGATTAATTTACCTGAAACATATATGAGCTATTATGTACTATTTCAAATACTTTTCACTTTATTTGAAACTTTTTAAGTTGAAGTTGAAGATGGTGCTGTGATTAGTTATAATTTTAGTAAATAGTATTTAGTTGTTTTTATGTAGGTGTTTGGCCATGAAATTTTTTACGAACTCCAATAAATATGTTTAGCCATAAAATTCTGAAAAAAAGAAAGTATTTTAACTTTTTTCAGGGATTTCAGAATTTTCAAACACAACAAATTCACTTTTTCGCTCTAAATTAATCACAAAAATTCAAAAAACCACCTATAATTTATTCCATGGTCAAACACAACCATATATCATTTTTCATTTTGAAAATAAAAATTATTTTTTTCTATTTTCACACTGAAAATGGTCAAACGTCTACTATTGTGAAAAGGAAAATAAGATTTTGAGTGTTTTTCAAATTTCAAATACTACTTTAAGTGAGTTTGAAATTTTCATGACCAAACACTGATTTTCAAATAAAGTGACTTTTTTTAAAGAAAAAAACATGAATAATTCTAATAGCCAAACAAGTATATATAAAGAAATAAGCATACGAATTAAGAAGTCAGTGAGGGGTTTAACATCTACTATATGTACATAAAAAATATTAAGTGGTAACGTTAAATTATGAATGACGCAGTCAGAATTTTCATTAATATGAAGAAATAAACACACGAAATAAGAAGTCAATAGGGATTCAACATCTACTATATATACTTTTAAAATAATAATTTTAACTATATATAAACAATATTATTTTCTACTAAAGAGAGTTAGGATGAACCTCTCGAACTTATCTAGCTCCGTCCATGTATATTACATTACAATAAAGGGATTAATACTACACCTGGCAATCTCCTAGAGGTTGCTGAGGATGAACAGAGGATTATGATAAAACAAGACTAAGAATAATGCTTTGTAATTCATGGAGATCAAATTGGAGCAAAAAGGAATTAATTATCTTCTATGAGATGATTATATTTTTATCAACAAGCTTATATGCTAGTCCTTTTATAATATTTCTCAAGGGAACATTCATAAGGAATTCATAAATTTGTGGACCCTTTATTGTTGAAAAAAAAATCACCTCCATTTTTTTGGGGGGGTGGGGGGTGGGAGGCTTGGGCTAACATTTATAGGAAACTTACATATCCTTCGCTAACTAGTTTATCGATATGATTAAAATATGTATTATTTTTATATTTTCGTTGTATATGTACTATATATATTATGTATATGATATGTATACTATATATATACTTCGATATACGAATATGTATACATGTTTAGTATAAAATAAATACCATACACTATATATTGTATATATATTTTATAAATCAGATGAGAAAATGATATTTAATTTATAATATTTTACTTGGTCAAGTCCTCTGTTGATGACTATGATGTTTTCGGTCTTGAATAAGTTTGTTTGGTCAACTTTCTAAAATTAATTTATTTTGAAAAATGTTTTATTTTTTGTGAGAGGTTATATTTGTGTATGACTAATCAATTTGTAAAAATACTTTTAAGTAGCAAATCAATCGAGCTACTAAAATCTCTGTATGTTAAGAAATGGAACTTGTGTCTGACTCAAATGGTCTTTAACAATAATTAATTAACAGTAATAGTTTAATTGCCGCAAGGCAATTATTTACACTCTTTATAAATGTCCCTAAAGCTTATAGCGACATTTGATCCAATGACAATTAACTAATGCCAGTAAAAGATTTACCTCTCTTTATTAATGCACATATTTATTGTTGTTAAAGACTATTTTTATGATTTTTTATTTTTTTTTAGGGCTTGAATTGGATTGACATAAATGAAACTTCTTTTGGTCCACTTTTCATGTGCTAAGTTTTTTCCAAGTCGAGAAGTAGCTAATTTATTTTTATTATATATAGTCTCACCAGTCAGTAGATTAGTCTTTACGCGCATGAAATGTTCACATCAATTTAAATAATTTATCATGATTAAATAATAAATTAAGGTAATAATATGTATGTAATTGACTATTTGTGAAATCTCACTAGTTTAGGAGCTAATTACTTAGATTCATGCTAGTTTGCAATATTATGAGTCTTACCAAATTTTGTTCTTCGGATACATGTATATGGTGCATCCAGATGGTCAAAATTATGTGTAATTTGTTTTAGATACAATGTATCCAAGTGACTCTCTCACTCGCCTCTCGTATCTCGCTGGCTACCACTACAAGAACAGTGTGAATTACATGAGAATTTTCCTGGGGATTAATATGAAAATCCGTAGGAAATTAAACTTATTTTCCTGCAAAATTTTCATACTAATCCACAGGAAAATCCTCATGTAATTCACACTTTTCTTATAGTGTGTTCTCCACTCTCCTTATATATGATATTCCAGATATATATATATATATATATATATTTAGTGTGATTTGTATATATATGAGAATCTTACTTGCGTCTCTCCTTCTCTCACCAACTCAATACTTGAGCATAGGGCTTAAACTCAATGGACATTAACTATTGGTGATTAAAATTGAATGATTGTAGTTATATTACATGGAGCTAATATTTACCTTTTTTTTTCTTCAGCTGAGCGACTATCATAAGTAGCCTTTAATTTTTTATATCTCACATAAATAGAAGTAAGATTTATGTATAACCAATCCTGTTCAGATCTTACTCGTGGGATTTGACAATTTTTGTTAGCTGAAGTCGGTAATATGTGGTTGGAATATATAAAATAGGATTAACTAAAACTTGTGTTATTAATATTTTGTCAAGCACATTATAACTTTCAATTAACTAATTAAAATGTGTGCTGTCGGTCCCACTAATTGAATGATTCAACATTAAATAATTTGTTAAACTCACAACCGGAGGGATCAAAAGTGTGCAATACCATTAAATTGAAGACTAAACATGCTTATACAAAAAATCAAAAGGTCCTAGATCAAAATTTACGAATTATTTGAAGGACTAAAAGTGCTAAATATCCCTAATTAACATAAGTATTAATTCCTTACTAATTACAAAGTGCAAGCATAATTCAACTTAATTAACATAAGTATTCTTTAATGGGAAGAATGCACATGCTGAACTATTTAGAATCACTGTAGCTGGTACAATATATACGATATGGCACGAAAGGAGCAATCGAGTCTTTTAGACCAAGAAGAGAAATTTTTGGTTCTCTCAAGACAAATTATTCAGATGGTGGTGATGCGAGGTAGCTTGAAGGCAAAGTTAACTAGTCAGACCGCGAAACTTGATTATTATCCTGGAATTATAACTCATGTGTAGTTGCTTAGCTGCTATTCATAAATTCCCTACTTTGATATATATAAAATGTCTTTATAACCAAAAAATCAAACATAAGTATTCTTTATTATTACCTTAACTCCATTGAAGATCTTTCATGGAGATCCAAACATACAATTGTCCAACTCAAAAAACATATTTAATTAAACATATATAAATATAATATAAAGTTCTTGCTCAATATAACTTTTTTGTTACTCAATCTCTGTTCATTATAAAGTTCTTGCTCAATATAACTTTTTTGTTTCTCAATCTCTGTTCATGCTCCAGGAGCTGCAAACATGTAAAGAAGAAATGGTGTAAATAATGGATCTGTAATCTTTAAAAAAACATAAATTATATAAATCGTTAATGTATATAATTTTTAGGTATAATACCTAAATAAACATATAAAGTTGATTACAATTGTCAGTTGATAAGTAAACACTTCAAATTTTGATAGTGTACATCTAGACACCATTTGTTAGTGACTCCTTGTGCGATGCATATTCGATAAATAAAGTAATTTACTTAAAATAAAATAAAATTATGAGAAATACTTTTGAGAAAATATATACAAAAACATCTTTTAGAAATTCGATCAAATACTAATTGGCCAAAACAAATAGCTCCTCACCAAAAGTGCTTGTTCAAAAATAATTTTTTCACATAAAAATACGTTTCAAAATAAGGTTATTTTAAAAATTAGGTCATACAGATTAAATTATGTATTTCAAAACCAACAAAGATTACCATCTCTCATCGATCATACCATGTTTTTTGCAATTTGAAATATATAACCCTTCCAACTCGTCCAAAATTTAATGGGTTGGGCCACTGGATATGTCAACTAATCAGTCCGTGAAGTAACATACACAATAATTTAATTTTTTTTTCCTATAACCTTTGCATATCATAAACTATATCAAATAAATTGAGATAAATAAAATAATATAACGCAGCGATTTTGCCCTTTTGGCTAAAATAAAAAGTGATGTGCCCTTTTGGAATTTTTTACCATTTTTTTTGCCCTTTAGGCTCCGGACTCAAGTTAAAGAGCATGCTAATATATTATGTCTTTCGAGAAGCTAGTAAAATCACCCAATTTGATTAATTTATCTGAAACATATAAAAGAGTAAAATCTCAAAATAGATAGTATTAGATCTTATATACTAGCTACTACGTATTATTGCAAATACTTTTCACTTTATTTGAAAAATTTTAAGTTGAAGATGAAGCTATGTTTAATTTTAATTTTTATAAATAATACTTAGCTTGTTTTATTATACTTTTCCTACAAAACAAAAAATGATTTAAACATGAAATATATTTTAAATGAAGTTATTGTTATAAAAATAAAAAATTTAGTATAAAATAAGAAACTAATGGTACAATTATATTACGAATGATGAAGTCAGAATTTTCATTAATATAAAGAAATAGAAACACAAAATAAGAAGTCAATGAAGGTTTAACATCTTCTATATATACGTAAAAAGTAATAAGTTAAACTATATATAAAAAATATAATTTTCTACTAAAAAACCTTCTCGATTTTATCTAGCTCCGTCCCTATACAACATTACAATCAAGGGATTAATACTACACCTGTCAATCTTCTAGAGGTTGCTGAGAATAGACAGAGGATTATGACAAAAAAAGCTAAGAATAATGCTTTGTGATTCATGGAGATCAAATTGGAGCAAAAAGGAATTAATTTTATTATCTTATATGAGGTGATTATATTTTAATCAATAAGCTTATATGCTAGTCCTTTTATAATATTTCTCAAGGGATCATTGATAAGGAATTTATAAATGTGTGGACCCTTTATTGTTGGAAAAAAAAAATCTATGACCAAAAAAAAGAAGAAAAAAAGCACTTCCATTTTTCCTTTTTGAGGGCTTGACTCTTGGGATAACATTTATAGGAAACTTACGCATTCTTCGGCTAATTAGTTTATCAATATGATCAAAGTATATATTATTTATATATTTCTGTTGTATATGTACTATATATATTATATAAATTAGATGACCGAATGATAGTTGATTATAATTTTCCGAACATTTGATTTATATTGTTTTAGTTGGTCAAGTCCTCTCAAGTTGATGAATATGATGTTTTCAGTCTTGAGTAAGCTTGCTTCGTTAAATTTCTAAAATTAACTTATTTTGAAAAGTATTTACTTTTGGTGAGAAGTTATATTTGTGTCTGGCTAATCATTTTCAAAAACACTTTTAAGTAGCAAATCAACCGAACTATTAAAATCTCTATATGTTAAGAAATGGAACTTGTGTCTGACTCAAATGATCTTTAACAGTAATAGCTTAATTGCCACTTAGATATGTGCTTTTAAAGGCAATTATTAACACTCCTTGTAAACGTCCTTAAAGCTTATAGCGACATTGGATCCAATGACGGTTAACTAATGTCTCTAAAAGTTTTAGCTCTCTTTATTAATGTGCATATTTATTGTCGCTAAAAAATATTTTTATGATTTTTGTTTTTTTTTTCTTAGGGCTTGAATTGGATTGACATCAATGAAACTTCTTATGGTCCACTTTTCATGTGCTAAGTTTTTTCCAAGTCGAGAAGTAGCTAATTTATTATATATAGAATAGTCTCACTGGTCCGTAGATTAGTCTATACGCGCATAAAATGTTCACATCAATTTAAATAATTTATCATGATTAAATAATAAATTAAGGTAATAATATGTATGTAATTGACTATTTGAGAAAATATATGACATATATTTATTAGATGATATAAGTAATTTTTATCTACTAAATTTTGTATGGAATTTATTTGCCATGATATTAATTAAGTGTGCTGAATTTTGCAATCTGAAAGTTTAAAAGATCGGGCATGATGGTAATAAAGCACGTGCTAATACGAGTCGATGATAAAAATTAATATATTTGGATGAAATAAAATATACCTATTTGAAATAGGAACACACACATAGGTAATAGAAAAATACTTAGAAGTATATTACAACATGAACTCAGGTACAAGTTGTTTTCTTGGAGTCGACTTCTGCTTTGACACCGAGAGCTTTAAAAGTATCGGGCCTAACTCAACCTCAAAAGCTAGCTCAGATAGTGATGATTGATATAACAACTCATTCCTCAACCAATGTTGGACACTTAGCAAGTATTAAGGGTCTACATGAAATGCTATTAGTAATTACCATTTACTAAGGAAATCTTCAACCAGTCAAATTAGTTGAACTAAAATGAATGGCAATGGCCTGAATATCTAGTTCAGATAAACTCATTCCAACTTAGTATATCGAGCAAATACTCATGGTGAACTTGAAACTATAAAGCATAAACTCTCTCCGTCCCAATTTATGTGACACCCTTCCGTTTTTAGTTAATCTAAAAAAGAATGACACATTTCTAAATTAAGTAACTGAATTGTACAGTAAATAAGTGATTCCAGGTCCAGACCTGGAATCACACGGAATTTTTTTCTTTGTTTTGAATGTTAAAACGATAGATCTTTCATTTATTGGTGAATCGATTAATCCGCTTCGATTTGATTAGGCTAGAAAAAAGGTTTTGTAACAGCAACACACAGAGATAGTAGGGAAAGACTTATATTAGAAGTATATTACAATAAGGATGATTGAGTGAAGGGTTTATTCCTTCCAAGGGATTTAAATTACAATATTTAAAGGCAAATACTATAATCTTTTGATAATGTTATTTAAGGTTGATGAAATAGGAATATTTTGATGACATGACATAGTGAGTGCGATTACACTCATTAGTGGCAAATAAAAGGCTTTATATATTGAGTAATTATAGAAATCACACTTGTTTAAGAGCTAATTACTTATATTCGGGCTAGTTTATAATAATATGAATTTTACCATATTTTGGACTTCAGATACATGTATCTTACACGTCATGATACATCAAGATACATATGTATCGCTTGTGTGCGCATCCAGATACATGTATCTCGGATATATTATGTCAAAATTATGTGTAATTTATTTTAGATACATTGTATTCAAATGAATTTGCAAGTATTTGGCTCTCTCACTCGCCTCTGATCTCCTATCTTAGATTCACCTTTTCATAATAATGCATTCATCATCTCGAAATTCTAAATATGCATTTGACTATACGGTTGTATATACATAAGTACCATCACTTAATTATAGTTTATTGATATAAATATATTTACTCGATTAAATTGCTTAATTACAGTAAGTTATATTATTTGACGTAAACAATGAATTGAATGCGAATAAATATTTTTAAAAATAACAGAAATAATAACATATAAAAGAGTCGTGTGGGAGTATTAAATATGCCTTTCTTTTTCCATTTTTTGTTTCTTTCTAGGGCTGGACTTGTCCTTGTGAAGTTGATGGATATTATTTCTATGAAAAATAGTTATGGAAAGATATTTTTAACAGGCTAATAAAAAAATAATGTAATAAAAATTGAATCAAAGTTATTAGATTATGTTAGAATCATAACAATCATTCTGACAATTTGCTCTATATATGTGTATCGAGTGTTTACATTAATTTTGCTAATTTATTACGATTAAATAATAAATTAAGGTAACAAGTATATATGTATTTGACTATAATTTAGTAATAATTATTATATTCATATATTTATTAGATGAATTTTATCTACTAAATTTTGTATGGACTTTATTTCCCATGATATTATGCGTGCTGAATTTTGCTATCGTAGGGGCGTGCGCTGAAAAGTTTAAAGGATCGGTAACAAAACACATGCTAAGACGAGTCGACCATAATAATCAATACCTAAATGAATGAAAAGATACCTTAACATTCTTTATTTTGAATGTTAAAACGATAGATCTTTCATTTATTGGTGAATTGATTAATCCGCTTCAATTTGATTAGGCTAGAAAAAAGGTTTTGTAACAGCAACACACAGAGGTAGTAGAAAAAGACTTATATTAGAAGTATATTACAATAAGAAAGATTGAGTGAAGGGTTTATTCCTTCCAAGGGATTTAAGTTACGATATTTAAAGGCAAATATAATCTTTTGATAATGTTATTTAAGGTTGATGAAATAGGAATATTTTGATGACATGACATAGTGAGTGCGATACACACATTTGTGGCAAATAATTAAAAGGCTTTATATATTGAGTAATTATAGAGATCACACTTGTTTAAGAGCTAATTACTTATATTCGAGTTAGTTTATAATAATATGAAATTTACCAGATTTTGGACTTCGGATACATGTATCTTACACGTCATGATACATCAAGATACATATGTATCTCTTGTGTGCGGCGCATCCAGATACATGTATCTCGGATATATTATGTCAAAATTAGGTGTAAATTATTTTAGATACACTGTATTCAAATGAATTTGCAAGTATTTGGCTCTCTCACTCGCCTCTCTCCTATCTTGCTCTCCTCTCTCCTTGTAGCTGGTATCCCAGTGTGCAGTACCATTGAGTTGAATTCAATTGAAGGTTAAACATGCTTATACCAGGAATCAAAAGGTCCTAAATAAAAAATTTACCAATTATTTGAAGGACAAAGTGCTAATTTCCTTTAATTAACATAAGTATTAATTACATAGTGCAAGCATAATTCAACTTAATTAACATAAGTATTATTATTTATTACTAGCTTAACTCCATTGAAGATCTATCATGGACTAAGCAATTCTAGAGTACCCAAATTCCAAACATACAATTGTCCAACTCCAACACCATATTTAATTAAACATAAATATAATAGTAAGTTGTTGCTCAATATAATTTTTGTTGTTACTCAATTAATCTTCTGTTCATGATCCACGATCTGCAAACATGTAAAGAAGAAAGGGTGTAAATAATGGATCTGTAATCTTGAAAAAGAAACATAAGCTATATAAATTGTCAGTGTAAATAATTTTTTGATATAATACATAAATAAACATATAAAATTGGTTGCACCTAACTAATAAGCACTTTTAACTTTGATAGTGTACTTCTAGACACTATTTGTAAGTGACTCTTTGTGTAATGCATATTAACTCTGATAAATAAAGTAATTTTTTGGTTATTTGTAAGTGACTCTTTGTGTAATGCATATTAACTCTGATAAATAAAGTAATTTATTTACCAAAAAAGAGTGTATGAGAAATACTTTTTGAGAAAATATATCCGAAAACACTTTTTAGAAATTTGATGAAACATCAATTGTTGCTCAAAAATATTAATTGGCCTAAACAAATAGCTCCTCACTGAAAGTGCTTGTTCAAAAAGAAACTTTTACATAAAAATACTTTTCAAAATAAGTTAATTTTAAAATTTTGGCCAAACAGATTAGTAATCTCATTATTTCCTATTCTAGCAAAACCACCCATCAAAGCCATCGTTAACCATTGGTCGTTAAGGCGTATTCTCAAATCCAATAAAGATTATCATCTCTCATCATACCGTGTTCTTCGCCAATTGAAATATGTAATCCTTCCAACTCGTCCAAAATTTGATGGGTTGGACCGCTAGATAGGTCAACTAATCAACTCATGAAGTAACACACACAATAACTTAAAACTTTTTTTTCTTTTAACTTTTGCATATAATAAACTATATCAGGTGAAATAATAAATTTTGCGCAAAACTTTACCAGGTGACGATATTGAATCTGGTGGTTGAATATATGGTTTCGCAGATCTAAGGTAGAGGGATCTACGTGGTGAACACGATTCTTCTCGAAATTTATAGGCATTGCATCTATAACCTGTAGTTAAAGAGGAATTAAGTTATACATCATACAAGTAACATTTAAATTTGGAAAAATAATAATAATTAAGGTTAAAAATCAAAATACTAGTAGTGGGCCCTTGGCTATGAATTTTTTTTTTTAAAATTTTTTTTATTTGGAAATCTTAATAAAATGTTTAGAATTTGAATGTAAACTCAATGTTGGAGGGCATAAATGTTAGCTGAGGTCAAGTTAAAAGGCATGTTAATGTTTATGCCTTTCTAAAAACTAGCAAAATCACTCAATTTGATTAATTTACCTGAAACATATATGAGCTATATTATGTACTATTTCAAATACTTTTCACTTTATTTGAAACTTTTTAAGTTGAAGTTGAAGATGGAGCTGTGATTAGTTATAATTTTTGTACATAATATTTAGTTGTTTTGATGTAGGCGTTTGGCCATGAATTTTTTTTACGAACTCCGAAATTTAGCCATAAAATGCTGGAAAAAAAAGTATTTTCACTTTTTTCAGGGATTTCAGAATTTTCAAACACAACAAATTCACTTTTTCGCTCTAAATTAATCACAAAAATTCAAAAAAACCACCTCTAATTTATTCCACGGTCAAACACAACCATATATCATTTTTCACTTTGAAAATAAAAATTATTTTTTTCTATTTTCACACTGAAACATGATCAAACGTCTACTATTGTGAAAATGAAAATAAGATTTTGAGTGTTTTTCAAATTTCAAATACTACTTTAAGTGAGTTTGAAATTTTCATGACCAAACACTGATTTTCAAATAAAGTGACTTTTTTTTAAGAAAAAAAAATGAAAAATTCTAATAGCCAAACAAGTATATATGAAGAAATAAGCATACGAGTTAACAAGTTAGTGGGGGGTTTAACATCTACTATATGTACATAAAAAATATTAAACGGTACCGTTAAATTATGAATGATGCAGTCGAAATTTTCATTAATATGAAGAAATAAACACACGAAATAAGAAGTCAATAGGGATTCAACATCTACTATATATACATTTAAAAAAATAATTTTAACTATATATAAACAATATAATTTTCTACTGAAGAGAGTTAGGATGAACCTCTTGACCTTATCTAGTTCCGTCCATGTATATTACATTACAATAAAGGGATTAATACTACACCTGGCAATCTCCTAGAGGTTGCTGAGGATGAACAGAGGATTATGATAAAACAAGCTAAGAATAATGCTTTGTAATTCATGGAGATCAAATTGGAGCAAAAAGGAATTAATTATCTTCTATGAGATGATTATATTTTTATCAACAAGCTTATATGCTAGTCCTTTTATAATATTTCTCAAGGGAACATTCATAAGGAATTCATAAATTTGTGGACCCTTTATTGTTGAAAAAAAAATCACCTCCATTTTTTTGGGGGGGTGGGGGGTGGGAGGCTTGGGCTAACATTTATAGGAAACTTACATATCCTTCGCTAACTAGTTTATCGATATGATTAAAATATGTATTATTTTTATATTTTCGTTGTATATGTACTATATATATTATGTATATGATATGTATACTATATATATACTTCGATATACGAATATGTATACATGTTTAGTATAAAATAAATACCATACACTATATATTGTATATATATTTTATAAATTAGATGACAAAATGATATTTAGTTGTAATTTTTTGTATATTTAATTTATAATATTTTACTTGGTCAAGTCCTCTGTTGATGACTATGATGTTTTCGGTCTTGAATAAGTTTGTTTGGTCAACTTTCTAATATTAATTTATTTTGAAAAATGTTTTTTTTTTTGTGAGAGGTTATATTTGTGTATGACTAATCAATTTGTAAAAATACTTTTAAGTAGCAAATCAATCGAGCTACTAAAATCTTTGTATGTTAAGAAATGGAACTTGTGTCCGACTCAAATGGTCTTTAACAATAATTAATTAACAGTAATAGTGTAATTGCCGCTAAATATATACTTTTAAAGGCAATTATTTACACTCTTTATAAATGTCCCTAAAGCTTATAGCGACATTTGATCCAATGACAATTAACTAATGCCAGTAAAAGTTTTACCTCTCTTTATTAATGTACATATTTATTGTTGTTAAAGACTATTTTTATGATTTTTGTTTTTTTCTTAGGGCTTGAATTGTATTGACATAAATGAAACTTCTTGTGGTCCACTTTTCATGTGCTAAGTTTATTCCAAGTCGAGAAGCAGCTAATTTATTTTTATTATATATAGAATAGTCTCACCAGTCACTAGATTAGTCTATACGCGCATGAAATGTTCACATTAATTTAAATAATTTATCATGATTAAATAATAAATTAAGGTAATAATATGTATGTAATTGACTATTTGTGATATCTCACTAGTTTAGGAGCTAATTACTTAGATTCATGCTAGTTTGCAATATTATGAGTCTTATCAAATTTTGTTCTTCGGATACATGTATATGGTGCATCCAGATAGTCAAAATTATGTGTAATTTGTTTTAGATACAATGTATCCAAGTGACTCTCTCACTCGCCTCTCGTATCTCGCTGGCTACCCCTACAAGAACAGTTTGAATTACATGGGAATTTTCCTGGGGATTAATATGAAAATCCGTAGGAAATTAAACTTATTTTCCTGCAAAATTTTCATACTAATCCACAGGAAAATCCCCATGTAATTCACACTTTTCTTATAGTGTACTCTCCACTCTCCTTATATATGATATTCCAGATATATATATACGATATGGCAGGAAAGGAGCAATCGAATCTTTTAGACCAAGAAGAGAAATTTTCGGTTCTCTCAAGACAAATTATTCAGATGGTGGTGATGCGAGGTAGCTTGAAGGCAAAGTTAACTAGTCGGACCGCGAAACTTGATTATTATCCTGGAATTATAACTCATGTGTAGTTGCTTAGCTGCTAATCTGCTATTCATAAATTCCCTACTTTGATATATATAAAATGTCTTTATTACCAAAAAATCAAACATAAGTATTCTTTATTATTACCTTAACTCCATTGAAGATCAATCATGGAGATCCAAACATACAATTGTCCAACTCAAAAAACATATATAATTAAACATATATAAATATATTATAAAGTTCTTGCTCAATATAACTTTTTTGTTTCTCAATCTCTGTTCATGCTCCAGGAGCTGCAAACATGTAAAGAAGAAATGGTGTAAATAATGGATCTGTAATCTTTAAAAAAACATAAATTATATAAATCGTTAATGTATATAATTTTTAGGTATAATACCTAAATAAACATATAAAGTTGATTACAATTGTCAGTTGATAAGTAAACACTTCAAATTTTGATAGTGTACATCTAGACACCATTTGTTAGTGACTCCTTGTGCGATGCATATTCGATAAATAAAGTAATTTACTTAAAAAAAAAAAAACTCTA